AAATCGTAGCTAAGTTAGTCAGGCACAGTTAAGAAACATACAGTTATAATGTAGGTTCAAAACAGCGATATTTCATGCAGTGACATATTTATTGTATAGTTTCACTTTTTATTAGTGTTTGATAAACATTTCCTGAACATATTGAAGCATATAAAAAAAAACTGTGTGTGCACTATGAAACTTCTTACTAACAGCTATTAAATTGAAGACTTTGAAGGACATGTTTGAAAAAGTGTAGTTTGAAATGTTGAAAAAGTAATCAATAATTTGATTTACTTTCACAAAATTTGTATTAAAATGACCGTCTGTCGGTCTGAGAACTCCAATGGGGTACATCTATCCACGTGCCGAGTTTGGTTCCAAACGACCTATAATGGGCTCTTTCGCAAAAAAATAAATACCCAATTCAAGGACAAAATCTGAAATAGAAGGCTATTTTCAGTATATTTATCCAAAAAAAAATAGTTCCACGACATTGAATAATTTTTTTATAGGCCCTCAAAATTGCTTTAATTTGAAATAATTTTAAAGCGCCAATTGATGACGTATGAAAAATACACCCAATCACATTGAAGAACCGTACTCGTGCGCCAGCCAACAACTGGCAACATTGCGATTTGATTTGACCAGCACTACCTCAACTCAAGGCCAATCAACATGATATAGGCAAGGCAAATATGGCGGCGAAGGCAGCGCATTATTAAATTGTTTTCCTTTAAGGCGAGCGGCCACTGCGAGCGTAACTAAACTAAGGTAAGAATATGAAAACAAACGGTAATTAAATGGGAACTCCATCAGGAACGATTTTCGCTCAGTATCTCTGCTATCATAGAACTAATCGCTGCGAAAAATTCGCTGGAACCTGTCACGAACTAAAACGAGCGAAACTAAACTACGAGTCGAATCTTCGTTCATATATTTTCGTTTGTTTCGGTGAAGTAGCCGCTGAGGCATTAAAAAGTATGGAAGCTGATTTTTACAAATCTTATCTTCGCTTAGTTTAGTTTCGCTCGCAGTGGCCGCCCGCCTGCGAACTGAAACCTGAAAAGCCGGTAGAGGTTTCTCGTTCCGATTGCATACCGGAAATAATTAATTATCTCCAGTTTATTGTGCTTCTGCAACACGTTTGTTTAGTTCTTAGTGTTCAGTGCATGGTGTGATCAGAAAATTATGATAAAATAACACACAGTGTAATAAAAATCCAAATAGACATTCCACATAGAACTTCAAACTTTTGTGTTTGCCGTACTCCTCTATTATAAATTATTTTAAGGTAAGAACTAGAAGTATTTATCAAGATATTACACCTAAATGAGTAAAAAGCCTTCACCGCCAATCTGCATAGTACTTTATAATGGTTACTTACAATAATCAAAAGGTAGGTATTAAAGGGTTAACATTTTATTGTAGCATGCCTTTTACATGCTCTGTTCCAAATTGTCACGGGAATTATAGAGGTTTCTGCTTTTATATTCCCCAAAAATGACGAGCTTTGTAAAAAATGGTTGACAGCTATTAAAAGAGATAATTTCACTCCTACTAGTAGTTCTCGGGTAAGAAGTGCATTAAATATGCCTCAAAAAGGCCAAACGCCAAAGCCTCTGTAACCTTAGTGAGAATGTAGTTCTGGCTACTGCTTACACTTACCTCACTATAAGTAAAATATTGGAAGAAGAATCAAGCTTTCTACATCAAAAAGATCACAGAAAGATATTGGCAACATCGACGTTTGAAAATATAAATGGCCTAGATGTAAGTCTTTTTTTAGGTCACAATTGCCCCTCACATACGTCAAAATTTATTATTAAATCCATCTTGTTCAGATTATCCAATATTTTATTCGTCTTTACCACAAAGACAATGCCCTATGTAAAGAGAAAGAGTAAAGAAAACTAAGTTAAGCGTAAGCTTTACTTACGAACCCCCAAAAAGATATTTAGTTTTTTTTTTTCTATATAAAATCTTGAAACACATATTACATATGTGTTTAAATCTTGAAACACATACATACGTCAGAATGTATTATTAAATCCATCTTGTTCAGAATATCCAATATTTTATTCGTCTTTACCACAAAGACAATGCCCTATGTAAAGAGAAAGAGTAAAGAAAACTAAGCTAAGCGTAAGCTTTACTGACGAACCTCCAAAAAGGTATTTAGTTTTTTTTTCTATATAAAATCTTGAAACACATATTATATTTTTTATTTATCCTCACCTATTATAGTTTAAATTTATTCCCATTTGTGTAATGCTACAAAACATAGAAGAATATTCCATATTTTTTGACCCAAGCCAGTGTAGTTTATAATTTGAAGAGCATTTACCAAGGCTTTTACTAAGACAAGTAACAACTTCCTATACTGTCCATAATTGTATATATTTATCAAACGTTCATTAAATTCTAAACTATGGTAGGTAAGTGTTTGCAATTGAATATTTAGTTTATATTGCTTTTTCTGTCATATATTTCTGGTTATTTTTTTTCCGATGATTTTGAACACCCTATATATGCTACTTCAAGTTTGAATATTTTAACACTACCTATTTTCTGAGAAAGCAGACCTTTTTATAAAAAGTAACTAACTGATGTTTTCATAAAAGTAATAATACAAAAAATTCCATACTTATGTGGAGAACTTTAGACTCCCTGTATATTAAAAAATTAGTGAAATATTATGTAATCTAACCCGACATTTGTGTGAAAAATGTCTATTTGGAAATAAAACAGGTTTTAAAATACGCGCCAAATAAAGCACTTTTATCTCCGCCATATTGGAAAAGGCTGAATGGCCTTGTGTGGAGGTGGTGGTGGGTCAGCATGGTGGCCCGCTTTTCAACATGCCAGGTGTGACGTATTAAAAATAAAGTGCGGATTTTTATTCAGGGCTTTTTTGTTTTTATTTATTTTCTTAAGAACGACGAAAATTCTAGAATTAACTGCTTTATTCAATTATGCTAATTCCAAAATATAGTAAAAGAGCCCATTAAGAAAAATCCTGATGATTTCGTCCATTTAGAGACATCGGTTCGAAACGTCGAGGGCGTCATTCTGTAGCCCGTCCCCAATTATCCCGAAATCGACCCACATTTTTCTTTAATATCAAATCCTTACTCCCACTCTGATGAAGTTGTAAACGAAACGTCGTATCCAGCTTTACCCACCAAATTTGGTCGCGATCGGACGACATCAACTAACTGACACTGGTGTCGTACATGGTCAAGTAGGCCTTGGTCCAATCTAATATAAACTTTCAAGATAATATACGAAAACACAATTTCTTCAATTCGTATCTGTGCAAAGTTATAGACGCTAATACCGTATATATTACAAGTCTATAGTCGAATAGTTTCGTTGACTCCGAAGGGTAAATACAAAGATGTATGTTTATGCACTTATGCACTTACACCGGTTGCATTCTCAACATTTATTGTCATGTTAAAAATAACTACAAGACGTATCTTTAACAAAACAAACAACGTCTGCTATGTCAATACGACGATTCACAGTTACGAAGTGCCTATATTTACCTATCGAGTATTGAAAATTACGTAGAAATTTTCACTTATAATATCACAAGAGCTTAAATTATTTTCGGAAATTTTTTTGAGGGCACGAATATTTTGAAAATTATCCCGAGTCGAAGACGAGGGATAATTTTCCTAAAATATTCGTGCCCGAAAGAAAATTTCCAGGAATAATTTAAGCTTGCGTGGTATTCGGTAAGAAAATTTCACACCTAAATTTGAAAAAAAAATATTAATCCAACATGACATTTTAAAATAATTTCAATTTGTTAAGTTGGCCAAGGTATTGATGTTTTTGACATATTATGTGTTTTGTCATTTTTGTTTGCGATTCTGTCATTAAGCTATTACTAGTTTTAAAACGTCTGTACGTAGAGTAAGTAGTGTATAGCGAAATGTCGTGATTTGGAAAAGTAAACCAACAAGTCATTAAAGAAGAAATTGAAAATATAAAACCAAATAACACCCGAAAAATACCAGCTTTAGTTAAATAAAGGCGGCAGAACTATATTTTTTAGAACATGGCAATTTCGAAGAAATTCATATGTAGGTATATCTAACATATTTCCTTAAATAAAAAATATTACCAACCTTAGTTACATCAAATGCTAAAACTCAAATGGGTAATATTTCAATATATAGACATTGTAGTTCATTCACATTATGATTGTAGATCTTATGTTTACCTTTTCAACTGTCAAAAAATTTCCGGAAATTTTTTCAGTTGCCATGGTAACTAGTCAACATTAAAGCATGTTATTGGTTGAAAAGTAGAGGTGTGAAATTTTCTATTGAATTTCGTTACATTATATTCCAATCGAAGGGTCCAGGGGAAAACTTGATAAGCACCAATTTCTTAATTTTAGGATTTTTCAATATTATAGTAGGTCTAACTGGTCCCTACAAAATGTATAAAATCTGTAGGACAATTAGTTATTTTTTTACCTAAAAGAATTAATTTCGGGAGACGTAAGTAAATTACCAACAGATATTCAAGCTGAGGCGACAAACGCCATATCCAAACTACTTCCATTTAAATCCCGAATAACTTATGAAAAGGAATACAAAAATTTTCAAAAATGGGAGCAATTAAAAAACGTGTGAGAAGAACGATCAAGTGAAAACATACTTTTAGCATATTTTTTTCTGAAAAATCAAAGAAAATGCAGCTGTCCAGTTGCAGAATAAAGTTTTTAACCTATCCTCGCTGTTAAAGTATCATTTAATCTACCCTTGCGGTTAAAGTACTATTTTATCTACTATTTTTGATAGATATAAGTCAATTTTAACAGTTGCTATGGAAAAAAGTTGTTAAATCCCATGATATATGCCTAGTAAAAATATAGAATACACCGAAAGAACCTGATAACTACCAGCCGTCCAGTGCTCTTCTGTAAAATCAGTGAAATGGCGCTTATCATGTTTTTCCCCTGGACACTTCAATTTTAAAAATGAAATAAAAAGTTTACGTACCATTGTCTTTGTTTTTGTCCAAGTATTCATCCACAACTTGTTGAAATCTGAAAAAAAAGAAAAATCAACTATTTTAAATAAATACAGAGATATTTTTAACAAATTAAAATTAAAAGTTAAGTTACTTTAAAAAATGGGGGGTATGTCGCAATTGAAAGAGAAATCTCAAAAATAAAAAAAATTGTGAAGTACTTCTGCGTAGAATCGTAACCACCGTAATAACAAGGCCGGATAGCTGTGACGTAAAAATCTCGTGACGTCACCAACTGGAGGCCCGACTATATTTAGCAGCGATGATAATTACCCGATAATAGTTCAAATTGTGGATCTTTTTTCACTCACCAGATATATTTCGAAGTTTCAAAATGTCTTTTTCCGAGTTTTTAAAAATATTATAGTACATAAAAATAATTTTAATAGAATACGGAAAAAATCATACCAGTCAATAAATGTTTATCTCTCACTTTTTATCAATCAAATTTATTAAAGGAATATTTTAAGTTCACAATAGTGTATAATATGAGAAAAAACAATAAAAAAATAGTTTTTTTATAGTACCTATATATTATGTATTTTAACGATTTTCTACGCCCCCTACTCCGGGGCAACGGGGCCTGTCGTAGCGCGTAGCGGAGTGGTATTGCCGCAGTTGACAGTCATCGATTTATCGGTAGGTGTGCGGACGTGGTAAGTGGTAATTATAATCGATAATAGAAGGGTGAAAAAAGTTATAAATCTGTAAAAAGAGGTGTTTAAACTATAAAGTAATTACAAGTGTGTGCAATTATACAATTTAAAAGGTATAAGGTGCGATGAAAATAATAAAACAATTCTTACTTTTATCTCTGTTCAATATTAAAGTTATTAACTTGAGTTGAGTAACAGGTTGAGCTTGAAGTAATAAAATATTGTTTTATTGTGTAAAATATGAGGTATGTTTTACTAGAGAACTTGCAAACTGATCCTCTTGAAAGTAGGTTTGGAAAATATAGACAGTTAGCTGGGAGTCCGTACAGTATTTGTGTTCGACATTTATATGAAGGCGCAAAGAAACTTAAGATTCAGTCGTTAATGTCCCTAAAAATAATTTAACATTTTTCAGACAACACTGATATTGAACAAAATTCACTTATAAGAAACCTTACTAAAGGCAGTCTTGGGTTTCCAATAGATGAAATAACTAATATAGTTTTATTTGAAAAAATATTTTTATCAAAAATATCTTTGGATTACATTAAAAGTAATAGCACCATTATTAAAATTTCCGCAATGTACTATTTATAATACTAAGTTATTGTAAAAAATGTCATAAATTCTATTAAAAATACACGTCCGAAAAACTACTGTTGTTAAAAAATAATGATAGACTTGGTTACGGTAGAATCCAATCGGGAATTGTCGGAACTTCTCAGTGACGTGTTATTTATCCTTCAGGCAGAAATCTACGCTATCGAAAGATGCGTACAACTTATTTTAAATAGAAACTATCGGAAACAAGAAATAACCATTTTTAAGAGCGATCAGCTCAACAACCATCAATTCCAAGTTGGTCAAAAAATGTTTGAAGAAGCTGAAGAAATTAGACAAAGAAAAAAAGGTCTTTCTACTCTGAGTGCCAGCCCACCAAGGGATAGAAGACAATGAAAAAACGATGTAGCTAGAAAAGGAGCGAACACTTCACTAACTGAACCAGAACCGTTCTGCTTCCCAAGTGGAAACCAACTTAAAGCAGAAGTCGAGATCCTGGACGACTCCATCCGTAACTTGAAATAGGAGTCCTCCAAGACATTCGAAGAAATTTCTCAGGACTTACGACCGCGAAAAATCAAAGATTTTCTTTGATTTAAGTAAGAAAAATCTGCGGATTGTCACGGGTTTTTAACAGGATACTGTCTCCTCAATGAATCATTCAATAGATTGAAGCTAAGAAACAACTGCGAATGTAGATTCTGTAGGAAAAATGGGGAAACACCAGAGCACCTCATCACTGACTGCGCCAAGACTCCCACAACCATTCGTGCCATCAACTTTGGTACGACTGATATCGGAGATGGGGAACTAACCTCTGCAAAATTGTCTCAGATACTGGCTTTTGTCAAAGCCCTGAGACTGTATGATGAGTAACTCAAGAAATGGGGACATATAGATCTGTTTTCAACTAGTTCTTCATCAAAACTACTTCCATTCTTCAAACTTTAATTCTATTATTAAAGTCAGCTATAAAATAAACGACTAATGTTAATATGAAGAAAAAACGTTTAAAAACAATGGAAAAAATGTCCGAGAAAAGTAACTAAATTAATGCTAGCATTAAGAAATTCCTCACCCAAGACACGATGTCATAATACGTCAAATTTCATTAAGCATATCGCTGTTGTACGGTTTTTAATTAGGCGCAGCATGCGACCTCTCGTGTTTATTGGCCGAGAGCATCGTCACTATAGGCTCTCTTCTACGCTCGACGGCAATGTCTTCATTTTGTGCGTGTAAAGCTGAAATATGTTAGGGAGTGTCGGCACACACGGCCTTAACACTATAAAAAGAGCCAGTGTTAAGACACAAGAAGGTCGCGTGTTGCTTTTAATCGTTTTCTTAAAAACGCCATCTTTAGATCCAATATTTTTTACGCATTTTAAAATCTTTCAGTTGTTAACCCTTAAAGACTGAAGTACTAAACATAAGAAGCCCGTGTATATATTTATTTGCTTTACTCAACAATAGTTATTTATTATATCGTGAAGTGGCATCAGAATGGGATATAGGAAATCCCATGCAAATTTTAAAAAGGTGAAATATTGGCGGTAGTAAGGCTTGCGTGCCTGTGTGTAAATGGGGCCATAAAAATCACTCCTACAAATGCGATGGAAGTCTTGTTGAACTTACCACCACTACATATTTTCATACAAGGCGAAGCCAGATCTGTCATGCACAGGTTAATTCACGGTCAGCAGCACATAAGCCAAACGCATAGTGCTGCTAACCAGAAGCTAATCGAAGAGCTAAAAGCAGATAAAGTATTGGGATTACCAATTGATGCAACAGCTACTAGGTATAGCTTCAACAACAAATTTAATATAACCATACCAGGAAGAGAAGACTGGAGTAAAGGTGTACCCATTCAAGCTGAGGCAACCTGGTATACAGACGGCTCAAAAACGTCAGAAGGCGTAGGAGCTGGGATAGTAGGGCCGAAACAAGGGAGATCCTTCCACGTAAGCCTATCCAAGGATGTCACAATTTTCCAGGCAGAAATAACGGCAATCCACTATTGTGTAGAAGAAATAATAAGGCAACAAAGAACAAATCGTTCTGTGGCCATCTTCACAGACAGCCAAGCGGCGCTAAAGGCACTCGGCTCCGCGGAGGTCAATTCTAGACTAGTGTGGGACTATGTGCCTGCTCTGAATACTTTGAGCGAACGTAGCACTGTTACATTGGTCTGGGTGCCAGGGCACGATGGTCACAAGGGTAACGACAAGGCGGATGAAAGGGCCCAGCAAGGCTCATCAGTGCCATTCATAGGCCCAGAACCCTTCTGCGGCGTTGCAAAGGCGGTCACGAGAATGGCCACGGAACGATGGGTGGCCAACGAATCTCTAGAATGGTGGAGAAACTCACCAGGGCATTATGAGGCGAAAAGGTTCATTGTAGAACATTCGCCAAAATTCACGGTAGACTTGATAAGCAAGGACAGAAAGACAGTCAAAGCTGTAGTAGGTCAACTAACAGGGCATTGTAAGCTAAATAGGCATCTAAAGCTGATGGGATTGACAGACGAAGCTATGTGTAGGTTCTGCCAATCTGAAGAAGAAACGTCAGAACACATTTTATGTCGGTGTGACAGCCTGGCAAATGTGCGGTTCCCGGTAATAGGCAATGATAGGCCATTGTCAAGGAGCTACATGGAGGGTTCAGTTTCCAAGTTGCTAAACTTTGTGAAAAGGATAGGACTGGAGAATGTAATCTAAGGATCAGAAGAGGACCACAATAGATCTGAGAAGGTCGCAGTGGATCAGGCCGAAAGCCACCTCTAAGAATCTAATCTCTAATCTAAAATGTCTTGTTTGCTGTTCATTACTCGATCACTCGCAGACCTCGCTCATACCACATACATTCACAATAATTCAAGGGATAATCGAACTATTAGTGACACAAGGAACTTTGTTAAACTATACTAATTAATAAAATGTTTACATAATTCCCCATTCACAGCCTAATACCCCAAATGATTGTAAAATTCACGCATCACAATACAAAACTGTTAAGCAGAGAATCTTTAACATTCCACATAGGTGTCGTTTTCAGTGCATCTAAATTTCTGCATTTAATATGCCCATAAAGACGGTTTTTGAGTATGCTCCACAAAAGGCAGTGCATCTGTAATGTGTAGATGAGGTTTAAAAATATCAAGATCAAATTGTCAACGTGAGAATTAATGACTAAACACTGAACCGCTTCTTTCAAAATATTGCCCGAAAATAACCTTTAACTCTGCGAGCCGTTAAGCGAACGATTGACACCCCCGTGAGCGCCGCCATTATAAATAACACCTCATTCCGAGGCAATCCCAAAGTCCGCAGGGTACCGCAGAGGAGCACCGGCATGGCACCGACTTAATTTTTCCTTGTTTACGAGGCGGCCGGCCCTAAATTAGAAAAGGTTTTGATTTGAGTTATCGCCAAAAATAAATGGAGCATACGTCTCGGGTTAGTTTGGGATGGACGTATCCCCTACTGGGCTATTTTGGGTTATTGGTCAGTTTGGAGAATAAAAAACTGTTGTGTATCAGATTAAAGATTATCAAGAAAGTATTTTCATAATTAGATTTGTATTTTAGAAATGTTAACGGATTTTTGTATCTGGCAGAGCTGCAAGCTCACAGAAAACTATAGTCTTTTTTTGATTTAAATAATTTTAATGACTTAAATCATTTGATTTTAAGTAATTTTTCGAAAGCTGACAAGACTTAAAATTTAAGCCTTTTTCAAAAGGATTTGTGATTTAAATCTTTTTTCCGAAATAGAAAAAAAAATAATTCTTTTTAGAA